GTTTTCTTCTATTCCTTCTAGTATTTTCACCCCAAATACATTGTACACCAGTGTCAGGAAAAGCCACATTTACTTAACATTTATTTACTCTTGGGACTGAATGTGTTTCCTCCTTTTTCCCCCCTCAAAAAACATCTGACAAAAGTTGGGGTGCCCACAGGTACATAATACCCTGTTCCAAGGCAGAAATGCAGGAAGACACGGGAAGGGAACTCTGCGACTACAGACATCTGCAGGTGAGTGCTGGCCACTAAGTTGTTTATTGCGTACTGTAAGGCAAAATTACCTTTGTCTGCTCGCTGTCAGGGTCTTCAAGCCAAGCATAGGGATCACAGATTTTATGTCCATGATAATCCTGTACCTGCAAAAGACAAAATGAGGTCGAGTAATCAGTGCCCAAGCCCAGTTAAAAAAACATATGTATTCTATACGTGATAGAGAAATGGAAAGGGCCAGAAAACAATACTGACTCAGTGGCAATATGTCTGCCCAGTGTACCACATGAACACAAATGCCATCACCACTTAAGACACTTGAAACGAAACCGCTGCATGTTGTCAGAGCCTGACATGGGGGAAGCCTCTGGAACTCCTAAGATGCCTCTGACACAAAAAGTGCAAAGCCTGGCCCCAAGGTCCAGGGAAGGGGGCTGGAGGACACCCAGGCTTGCTCCTCACCACTTTCCATGACATCATGCCTGAAGACGCAATCCAAAAGTAAAACGTATTACGCAATCTCTCCACCTAAAACCTGCAATCGGTTTCTCCAGTCTGGTCCGTGGGTGACCCTAATACTCTGGGTAAGGTTTCTTGCACTGGGCTGTGGGATGGTCACCTCTTATCACGATGAATGTGTAACTTGTCTCCTGGTTTTATGCCATGATACCAGAAGGCTAGGGCTATTCCCCAAGGAAGACAAACTCTCCCCAAAAGGGCACCTGACTGTTCTTTCTAGTGTTTCTCCATGCTCAGGCCTCCTGCCTGTACCCTGGCTGTCTGCACTTCTCCCTATCCAGAGCCACCAGAGAGAGAACTAAGAGAACTGGAAGGTGTACAGGTGGGCAGCGGGAGAAAGGTCTAGAAGGAGTTTTGCTATACAACCGACAGACCAGAGCAAGAGACCTAAAAACAGACTAAACCCGCTTCTCAAGAGTCTTCATAAAAACACTTTCCCCTTTATCACTCTCAGTTTCGGCTGATGGCCACTCAAAGAAAGCATTTTAAGATCTTCTCTTCTGTCTACAGATCTTTCGCATTTGACACCTTGAGTGGTTATAACAGGTTTACAGTAAAAACCTTCTCTCTGTTGTCAATACAGAAACCATAGTTTGAAAGTCTTCTGAGGAGCTCTGGCAGGCACAGGACTGAGCAACATGCCTACAGCCAGACACACCAGACACAGGGTTGCAACCAAACCAGTCAGTCAGCCTGGAGGACAGAACACTTTGAAAATGTCCTTGGGAAGACCCCAAATTTACTTTGCGTAAGAAAGTAGAAAAGTTAACTAAAGTAATCACGGCAGTTTCAAACCTAGGAGAAAGAGCTGCTGTGGTATTTATTGAACATCGCTGTTGACTTTGCTATATAAAAGGGGTGGGTTTACTATGTAAAAAGTTGTTGACATTTTTAGCTAACAGATTGCAAAACACAATTCAGAGAGGTTAGTAACAGCAAAGGTCAAATGGTTTACCAAGTACAGACAGGAGACTGTGAGCTCACAATACTCCATTGACTTCTTCCACATTAATCTAACCAACCCTTGCTGTGAAGTGAAGAAACTGAGGCCAGAAACAACTAAAGCAATCAGGGCATGAGAGCTAACAAGTGGGGTGCAGACTTCCTGTGGCTGACCCCCACGTCTGTGGATCTAACAGTCTACTATGCACTCAGCTAGTAATCCTGACCCGGTGTACCCAAGCAAGTACATGGCTGGGCTTCAACCCAGAGCGTCACATGCCAGACCGCCTCCCAAACGGTCCTTCACATGAAGTAAACAGCTGTGCCTTCCGATGTCAGTTATCACAAAGACATCAGCCAAGACAAGGAATGATTCTCTAGGACCCTCCCATTGTCAACCCCCAGGAGCCACAGTCCACAATGTCCTCTTCATTGCTGCCCCCCCCCTTTATAAGACCATGCCCTACAGACTGGCCCCACAGCCACACTCCTTGAATAGAAGTCTCTCACATCTAATTCATCATGATTTCTGTATGGAAGCCATCCCTCACGTACGTCCCCAAGGGGCTGGGAGCACAGATAAGTCACTGCACTGCTGAATGCTGTTCCTCGATGCAGGCACTGGGCCTGCTCTCTTCCCAGCTGCCTCCAAGCCTCACTTTCCAAGGGTGTGCTCATGAGGGTCTTCCTGCTATCCCACAGGTAAAAGCAATTTCATAGCTATTCACACTTGCACAACTATACCTTTATTTTAGTCTCAGATTCAAGAATGCCCTTTCTCCCTTAGCCAGTCAACTCCCAGGCCCAATTAGAAAATTATTTCCTTCTCCTGACAGAGATATTAGTCCCATCCTTTTCTGTGTTCTCCTCTCACCGGACACCCTCTGTGAGGGTTTGAGTGGCCTGTAGGAGTCCTAAATTTCCTGACCTGTTACACAAACAACAATGACATAGAAGAATCAATGGTGTTATATGAGTAGGGTCATGCTTTCAAATTTCTGCTCATGAAGACACAAGTTCACACATGGGCTTCATGCTCCAACTCCACATTTACAAGGAATTGATAAGCATGGCTGAAAGATGTTCAAGTGAGAGACAGAACCACAGAAATTTCCAGAGTACGTATGTACTGGGAACAAAACCCACCTCCAAAATCTATAATCAGGCAAACGCATGAAGTCAAGCTTAGGAGTTGGTCCTACAGGAAAATACCACCATGTAGGTTAGCAGGCCACCACATGAAAGTCAAGGCTGCACCTGGCTACCACTCCTTCACCAAGGCCATAGGCTTAGGAGTATCAAGTGGTCTTTGGTGAGGAACTAGAGTGGACTAAACTCTAGACACCCTCTTTACAGTGTGTATAAACCTTTAGAAAACTTCATAAAAGCCCTATTGACCCTTTCGGGAACTCTTAAACTTAGATAAACTACAAGATTGGTACAGATTGGTATAGGGAAACACTAAGCAAGAACCATCACTACCCTCAACCACCCCAAGGTTCAAAAGAACAAGGAAAACCCTAAAACTGTATTTATCAAAACCACAAAATGGTAGTGATTATATATACATATATATACATATAATGCCCATTACTGATTATATATATGTTAACCTGGAATCAAAAAGACTCTCAAAATTTGGAGTCAAGACAGTTCCCCATCTTCCCATGAGACCCACTGCAGAGCTAGGCCATCTGAATGGCAAATATTCTATGAGCAAGTGAAGTCCCATGTCAGCCCTAATGGTCCATGTAGGAGAAAGGAGGCCTGTAACAGCTAAGAGATTGGCCCAGATAGAGAGGATCACCAGCAGAACAGGACAGCACTCAGGTTTTCTGACTAACCAGTCCTGTTCCTCATCCCAGCAGGATCACTTCATGCCTGTATGCAACAGAAGCAATCCTCCTGGAGGAAGAGGGTTTGTGAATGGTTAGGGCAAATTCAATGGGCAAGCAGCAGAACGGGCCGAGAAACATGGTTACCGGACGGTCACTGGTGAGAAACACTGCAGCAGATACTTGACGTTCATTTGAAAACAAGATGGTCTCTCACATTCAAGCCTTTACCTCAGTGAGCTTCAGAGTATACTTTCTGGCATAAACCAGATCAAAGTAAACAGAAAAAAGAAAAGACAACTGTATTATACAAAAATATTTTGACTATGACTTTAAGTAACCAAAGTGGCCTATGAGTGCAGGACTCAGGGCCATAATGTTTGGATTTAATCTACCTCTTCAATGCCAAACTAAATTACACACACACACACACACACACACACACACACACACACACGTTTGCCCAGAATTCTTAATTTCACTGCGTCTGAAGTTCACCTGCAGTTTAGGTAAACAGTTACTCCCACTGGGCAAAACTTACTTTGCAAAAGGCCTCTCCTGACTTGACTTCCTTCCCTAAGCAAACTTGGATCGCCTCAACACACTTTGGCCCTGCTCCTTCCCCACCCGATTCTTGTCTCATTTACACCCCAGCAACCAACGCCCAGCACCCGGCTCCGGGCAGGGCTGCCTTAAAGCAGAATGAATGAGCTTCAACTCTAAGGACTTGCAAATTCCAAGTTCTCAAAGTTTGCTTTTGTTTTAAAATCTTACATCATTTCCCACGCGCGCGCGCGCACACACACACACACACACACACACACACACACACACACACAAACACACACCAGCATACACTTTCTCCCACCACCATATTCAAGCCAGAAGGCTTCTCCACTTGGAGACACGGGGGTACATTCTGTGACCCCACCAGCAGCAGGCACCCATGTCTGCCGGGCGTTTGCCCTGGGGGCCGGGCGGCACTGACCACAGGCTCGCTCGGGCACGTGGGCCTCGGCCGCTCGCCCGTCCCGCGCTGGGAGGAGCCCCGCGACCCCGGCCGGCTCCACAAACAAAGGCCGGGGAGCCGCGCGGGGCGCAGGGGCGCGGGGCTGCGGGAGCCGAGCTGCGGGCCCGGCGGCGCGGCGCGAGCGGGGTACTCACGGAGGTCTCGTCCCGGTACACGTCGGGGTACTGGAAGGACAGCATGGCCGGGCGCGGGCTGCGGGGGCTGTAGGCGAGGCTGGGCGCGGACTGCGGCGGAGGACGGCAGGCGGGCGAGCGGGCGAGCAGCTGGCGACCGGCGCGCACGGGCGGACTCACGGCGGGGCTGTGCGCCAAGCAGGAAGACGCTGTCGGCGAGGCCCGGAGCCCCTCCCCGGCGGGCGGGCCCAAGCGGCGGCAAGAGGGAGTGGAGTCGCCGCGCGGGCGCCAGAGCGGGCGCACAGCTCCCTCTGCAGGAGCGCCGGCCGCGCCCGCGCCGCCCGGGCGCACGGAGGAGCACGCCGACGCCACCGCGCCACGCCGCTCGGCGACCGGCCTCCCGCAGCCCCGCGGCCCCCGCCTTCCCTCCCTCCGCGCCGGGAAGGCAAACTTTACCTCTGACCCCACCCTCGCCTGCTTTCCCTCGCCTGCCACTCGGCACGTGGAGGAAGATATGCTTCACGGTGACCGTGAAGGAAGCACACCTCCCTCCACCCCGACCCTTGATGGACCCCGGGAGCCCGGCCTCCCGGTTGTGGAGGTTCTTGGAGGTGTTGCCAGGACAATGGATGTGCCCATATCGGAGATCTACTGACAAGGAGCACGGTGGGAGGATTGCTGGTTATCTAGAGTCCTATGCTTACCCGGCCAGGCTCCTCCCTTCTGCTCCGGGTTTCATATTTTGAGCAACACTGTTCCTGTGTTAGAATGAGACAAGATACCTGACCAACCCATGAAGATTTAATATTTGCACGTCTTTACCCCTGGGCTAACGTGAGTTTGTGTTCTGGTCTCAATGCGCGGACCACCCAGAAGAGGCCTTTAACACCAGTCCTTATAGTATTGCATGTGCCTAATGTGTTCCTGCCTTCATACTAGACCAATGGAGGAAAGAGCCATCAGAAAAAGCCTGTGTTGTGGGAGAACTTCCACTGGTGGTTTCCGACAATGAAGGCTCACTCTGCAGGCTAGCTACCCCTGAACCAAGTCTGCCATCTCTGGGTGCGTCTTAAAGATTATCCCAAGGACACTCGACCCAGAAAACCCCCAGATAACAGTTGATACCTTATTAAACTTTGAGGTGAAAACTGTTCCTGCCCCAGTTTTGCAGTTGAGATAAACTGGGGCTTTCTTTTGCTCCAAGTTTCACAAACAGTGGGGTGTAAGAGAGAGAAGCAGGATTCAGTCTCTGATGCTAACATCCATTTCCAACTGTGATGCCTTCCCTCCCAGAAGGCAAATAGAGATGCAGTCTGTAGTTTACAAGGGCACCCCTTAGCAGGAGAAACTTGAGGTTGACAGCTTATAGTAGATGCCCGTGAACTGCAGTAGCAGCCCCATTTTTTAGTCACTGTTGCTGTGATAATAACATTGACCAAAATCAACGCAGGGAGGAAATAGTTTATTTTTGCTTAGAGGTTATAACCTGACTGGCTTGACTACCTACATTTGTCAGATAGCCCAAGCCTGCCTGCTCGAGGATGGTACTCCCCACAGAGGGCTAGGCCCTCCTACATGGAATAGCAATCAAGAAAATGCCCGCAGCCGTGCCTAGCCGCCAATCTGATAGGAACAACCCTTCCGCTGTTCCTTCTTCTCAGGTGTATCAAGCTGATGACTACGATTAGCCAAGGAAGAATGCAGCCTTGTGTCATTCACTTTCTTTCCTTTTGGACAATCAAATGCCCAGCTCCTCCAGCCTTGAAAATGAAAATATGCATCCCCTGATTGCACACCCCTATGGTTTCCAAGTGCTAGACTGTTGCCCCTTTTAGTCCTGCAGCAGAGTCTGTTAACTGGTGCAGAAAAGGAATGTCCGAGCTTTAAATACTGAGCCACCCAAGGTTTACATTCTTCAGTTGGTCCTAAAGTCCACCTTGCCCATCAACAACAAGGTATTTGAAACATTCTAGAAATGGAGGTGTTCTCTCCAGAATGAACACCAGAACACCTCTGTTACCATGGGAGTGGGTGGAGACAAGGGAGAACCTCTGGGGAAGCCTTCGGTACCATCTTTATAGCACTTCTTCAGAGGCTGTCCCTAAGATGCAGGCTAGGGGTGTGTGTGTGTGTGTGTGTGTGTGTGTGTGTGTGTGTGTGTGTGTGTGTGTGTGTGTGTGTGTGTGTGTGTCTTTGCTGCTCAATGTCTCCCCACTGTGCATATCCAAGTGCTCCTCCTGCCAATACGCTGTAGTCTTGTGAAAGAGGAAGTGGGGGAGAGGGTACCAGAACCCAGCCCACCACTTTACCACACCCCAACAGGCCCAGGCTGTGTTCACCTGGAACAGGAAGTATCTGTTCTCTGGAAGAGAAAAGATTTTTTTTCTGATTTTCACAGGAGTGCTGTCCTTAAGAATGATGCTGTAGATAATGTTTAGACCATCTACCCTTTAATTTGACCTTAGTTTCTAGGCAGGAAGTTAACCTGGTTACTGTTGTGCAGTCGTTTTGGGCTACCTTCCTGTGAAGGAATGTGTAAGGTATTTCCCAGTGTGGCTATTATTGAGAATTTGCGTTTTTGTGTATCTAACTCTGCAAGTTATTGGGAGTGTGAAGAAGTTCTAGAAAGAGTGAGGTCCCTTAGGCCGAACTACTAACAGCTCTCTCATTTTCTCCTAGTCAGTATTTTCATATACAGATCTGAAAAATTGTGGATTCAGTGGTTTCATAAAATTAATAACAATATTTCTAAGTGAGATCTACCCAGTGTGTGAACTTGCAGAATGCAGAATCCTCACAACTGACTGTAAATTAGTGAAATTTCCCTGAGGAATGCTGCCAATGTGCTGTGGACAGATGCGGTGACCATCCATCCAATAAAAGTTTTCTGTTTTCAAACAGGAAGTATAGGTGGGGCTACCAGACAAGGAGAATTCCAGGAAGAGGAACCCAGAGGTGAGTCATGAGAGAGACGCCAGGTAGCTGCCGAAAAAGCAAGAAGCTTGGGCATCACTGGTAAGCCAAGACCACATGGATACACACAGATTAATAGATATTGGTTAATAATTCATAGAGAGCTAGCCAATAAGAAGCATGAGCCATTGGCCAAACAGTTTATAATTAATATTAGCCTCTGTGTGTTTATTAGGAACTAAAAACTGTGGGACCAGGCAGGGCAGAAGCCTCCATCTACAGGTCTGCACCTCATTCTGCCCCTGCTCAATTAAACACTGATGGAGAGCAAAGGGCTGAATTCAATCCAGATAACAATATGGCCAGAGGAAGCAGATCGCGGAATTTTATGGCATTTCTAATGAAGTCCCAAAGATAGAAGTGTTTGTGATTGGAAGAGAAGATTGTGTTCCTTGTAGTTATTAGAGAGAATTCAGGTGTGGTTCCACATGCAAAATGAACTTGGTTTATTTATAGAGAACAATGACTATCTATGCGTCTGCTGTTTTAAGTTAAGAACTGAGAACTTTCAACAATAGAAAACAATCAGTTCCAAATGACTGACTACTGAGAGCTATAGGAGAACGGGGAAGAACAGCAGAAGAAAGAAAATGAGATAAGGAAGCTGTAAGAAGCTATCACTGGTTTCCTAACTCTGGGAAAAGTTAACAAACACACACACACACTCAAAGCTAGGCACACTTTGCTAGTTGGCTCCCCTGTATGCACTCATGCAAACAATAATTAAATCAGAATCGTCTGTCACAAAGAGCCATCCTTGAAAGAAGTGCTTCCAGGAAGACCTAACGTAGAGGTCTTCTGTGATTAAGTCAACCATGATGTAACTCAACCAACTATCAAGAGAGGGATCTCTGCTGGTTTGGCATTGGTTATCATTCAGCAGTGTTTTCGCACTTCTGACCTCTGTATTGCAAGGAGCTGCAAGTCTGGAAATTATCTTTCCTGAGTCCCCTTGTTAGCTTGTTTCTTGCCAGGTTCTATCAAAGGAAGAACGTAGATTAGCGGGGGAGGATAGAAAGACACTTCTTTCTTTCAGCTTAGGCTGCTGAGGGCAGGGACCTGCAGATGAGGGTTCTCTGCTGCAGCAGCTATCCAGGAGGGCAGTAAGCTGGGGGTGGCAATGTCCCAGAAGCACCTGCAGCTAACTGAGCAATTTCAAAGGGATGGAAGGTTGCCAGACTCTTGTAGAATCTCACACTTGTGGGAGTGTGGACTTTGACTTTCCTACATAGTAGCAGCAGTAATAAATGTATTCTAATCAATTCTGTTTGAAATATCTATATTGTCCCCCCTTGAAACCCTTTACCATGAATATAAGAAATAAAAAGTGACAGAAAGCATATTTAGGCTGTCTAAGAATTTGATATATTTGAAAAATAAAACACAGAACATGAATGACTACATATTACATGTTTCAAGACAGAAAAAAAATCGCATACACAGTAAGTTGCAAGGAATGTAAATAAAAAGACTAGCAGATTTGGAAACAACAATGTAAGTTTTAGAAATGGAAAATAAATTGGTGACATAAGAAGTCGTGCATTAAATATGGAACTAGAAGTTAAGAGAAGAATTAGTAAACTGGACGCAAACTCTATGAATGAACGTACACACAGGCAGGCAAGGGGTGGGAAGACAGGGGAGTCACGACAACATTTGCATATTTAAAAGATGGCCTTTCAGGAGAAGTGAAAAGCAGGGCAGATACTGAGAAAAGTACTTGCTACACAAAACGGTTCCTCTTCAGCTGAAATGCAGATAAACAACACAAAAGGAAAAATAGACAAAAGATACCAACAGATAATTTATAGTAAAGAAAACACAGTCAACAAACACTCAGAGATGAACAGTTACATTAAGAACTGGAAAAACTAGATTTGATGGTGTATGCCCTTAATTCAAGCACTTAGGAGGCAGAGGCAGGCCTGTCTCTGTGAATGGGAGGCCAGCCTGGTCTACATGTTGAGTTCAAGCCCAACCCGGGGCTGTACAGGGAACTGAGCCTGGGGAGAAAAGAAGAAACAGGAGAGAACTTACACAGTACTGATGGGAACATGAATTGCTATATCCACATGAGATAACACTGTCATATCTCAAAATGTAAAGCAAATGCTAAGTGGAACCATCATTAGGACAAGTACACCATCATCACGAAAGCTTTAAATTTCTCAGTAGTTTTGTTTGTTTGGAGTTCTTTTTTGTTTGTTTTTTTGTGTGTTTTTTTTTTTTGAGGCAGGCTTTCTCTGTGTAGCCCTGGCTATCCTGGAACTCACTCTGTAGACCAGGCTAGCATTGAACTCGGATCTCCATCTGCCTCTGCCTCTTGAGTGCTGGTATTAAATTAAACACAAATTTGAATAGGAATGGCCCCCATAGACTCATGTGTGAATGCTTGGCCCACACAGTGTGGCACTATTAGGAGATCTTGTGTTACTGTCTCATATGTGCTCAATCTAAATGAAGTGGGGAACACAGTCTTCTGCTGCTGCCTGTGGATGAAGATGTAGAACTCTCAGCTCCTTCTCCAGCATCATGTCTGCCTGCATGCTACCATGCTTCTCACCATGACAACAATGGACTAAACCTCTGAAACTCTAAGCCAGCCCTAATTAAATGTTTTCCTTTATTAGAGTCATGGTGTCCCTTCACAGAAATAGAAACCCTAAGACAGAAATAAACAGAGAAGTTGATAAAATAAATAAACACATAGATAGATGTACACATGTGTGCTTGCACACACACACACACACACACACACACACACACACACACACACACCAGACTAAGGGGCTAGAGAGAAAGCTCAAAAGTTAAGAACACTGGTCTGTCACTCCAGTTCCCAGGGATCTGCCCCTTCAGGCACATGTGTGGTTAATACACATGTATACAGGCAAAACACCCATACATATTATATAAAATTATTAAAAAGAAATATTCAAGGTTTAGACGAAATGTTTGATGCCCTCTGAAACTATAAGCCACTCTCCAATTAGATCTTTTCCTTTATAAGAGTTTCCGTAGTCATGGTGTCTCTTCACTCTAGCAAGCAGCTGGTGTTCACTGCTACAGTGCTACAACACTTCACAACAATCCAAGTGAAGAGCTAAGGATGTAAATGAAGACAAAGACAGTGGCTCATTCTTGCAAGGAGAATGGTGTTTATTTTAACAAGAGTGGAGCCTTATATACCAATGGCAGGCATGGTGGAAAACCACCAAGGTCAGAAGCCTATGTTCCCAGAGTCCTCCAGCAAAGGGTGGGCCAAAAACAGTCATTAGCATTTAGACAATAAGGATGGACAGAAACAGGAACTTGCACGCAGGCCTTACTGGGAGGAGGGGATGAAAAGTGTTTTCTAGGAGCTCCTAGTCACAAGCAGGTCAACAGACCCCCACGGCGGGATGGTGCAACACTTCACAGCAATAGAAACCCTAACTGAGAAACTTACTGACTAACATTTGTGGTGTTAGAAGGTACTTAGCAAACTATTGGAGGAGAATATTAATCATCCGTATTACCCAGCTACAAATTCTGCAACCTACATCACTGATATGCCTGTAAGATATACTGGTGCAATAATAGTACAAATATTATGGGAGTAGGCAACCACTTTCTGATTGGATTTGAGGCCCACTTCATGAGATGGAACCCATACCTTATTCTGCTAAAGTGGCCAATAACCTGAGCATGGGCCCTAGAGGAAAACTGTCTTCTATTATTCTGCAAATATATATATTGTAATATATATATATATAACAATAAAGTGACTCCTGGTGACATATTGCTATATCCATAAATAAGAACATTGCTCAACCTCATCAGAGAAGTTTCTTCTTGTAACAGATGGAATTAACACAGATCCACATCTGGACAATGTGCACACAGTGAGAGACTTTAGAGCACTCAGCCCTAAATGGGATGGCTTTATCAAATCTCTATAGCACGAAAAATAAAAGACCAGAGCCTGATGTTGGCGTTCAAGCTGAAGATCAGAAAAGCAAAGCAGTCAGTCACTAGCTCTCACCTTTACCTCAGACTAAAAGGTGATCCTGGCTCCACCAAACCTCAGATTGCAATCCCAGACTGCTATGCTCTCTTGGACATGGCTGGAGAATCCTGAGACTGACTACTGAAAAGCCTGCTTCTATCTTTTATGTCTCTCTAGTGCTGGAATTAAAGTCATGAGCTCTGTTACTCTTTTGGACTGATTCAATCTAGTGTACCCCTGGGTGGTCTTGAACTCAGAGAGATCCATCTGCCTTTGTCTCCTGAGTCCTGGGATTAAAGGTGTGTGCCACCACTGCCTGATATAAATAGCTTAAGGCTGCCTTTGCTTTCTGAATACACAGGCAAGTTTTAATAAATCATAAATAATATATCACCACAAATCCCTCCCCTTAAGTCTCAGGGATCTCCCTGGAAGATGAGGCAGAAAGATGGTAAGCCCGAGGGGTAGTGAATGACTCCAAAGAATAGCATCATCCAGACATAGCAGGACTGATACATATAGAACATGCAGAGTCTGTGACAGCAGGCACAAGACCTGCACAGGTTCAAACCAGACAAAAATCCCAGAATGTGAAAACAAACTCCTACCCCAAATCCAGAAACTATTTGAAACTGATGCTTGCAAAAAATATTTAAAAACAAAAGTGAAAATCAATTTTCCTCATTCTGAGTAGGCCTCAGCCCCAGGAGTAGTTGACCAACACACAATGGACTCCATGACTTTTTGTGTGCTTTTGTTATGTTTTGGCATTTTTTGCCATTTTGTTTTATTTTTGTTTGCTTTAGTTTGTTTTGATTTTAATTTTTCATCTTATTTTGAGAAAGAGAACATGAGAAAGAGAGAAAAGCATAAAGTTGATGGGTAGGGAGGTGAGTAGGATCTGTGAGCGTTAGGGGTAAGGAAAAAATATGATCCAGCTATATTGCACAAAAATTTTTAAGTAAAAAATAATTTAAGAAATTTAGAAATTTTTCAATAAAAATTTTAAGGTAAATATGAATAATACAGAGTAATATGAGAATATTATAACTAA